TTTTGTGTACATAGAGAAAGTCTCTAGAAATTTTTATCTTATGGTTTAAGAAATTATTATGGTTCTTTTCTTTTTCTCCACAGAGGGTTGGTCACTGTGGAAAAGAACACAACTGCATGCCAATAATAAAAATAAAATATATAACATAAATGGAAAGTGATATTTTACACCAGCTGATCAGTGGAACCCACTGTTATAGTGTGGAGAGGGGCCATGGGACTACTAAATTGCTAGTGGTCACATAGACCAGTAGAGTTCTGTCATCTCATCTCTCAAAATGAAATTCTAATGTAATTTCTGCACATGGCGACCTTTAGCTCATTCTTCCAGAAGGACATTCACACAGAGGACAGTGGTTGGTATAAATTAACTGACTGTAATCTCCCTCTTTCAACTGTCACTTAAAAAGGATTACTGTATGCAGGGTGCTGTAATGGACCTTAATTTGTCTGTGATAAAAAAACACAATACTGATATCAATAAATGTGGGCAGCTGCTGCTTAAATGACAGGAGTGGGTTTGTGATTGAATAGCAATCAATTTGCATTCATGTATCAGCTCGGAAACTCTGCGGGGGAAGTGAATCACAATCACTCAATTTACCAAGAATAAGATTTAGAGTTCACAGTGCATTTTAGTGATACCGATGCAAAAACATGTTAAGAACTTTCCTCCTAACCAATTTCAAGACAAAATCTTCCTTTCATTGATTTAGTTGCTAGTAATTCCAGTGTTTGGGTAATTACTGTCTAATTGATAGCCAATTTGCTGCCTGTAGTTTGCAGGGTTATAAGATTAGGGATTAGGTTTCATCAATTTAATTAGCTCTACCCACCATTGGTTTTATTACACTCCAAGTTAGTGAGTGTGAAACAGCAAATGTTGGTTCGTAGATGAATATGACTCATTTGTTATACCAACAGCCTGTGATTTTTAAGGAATTTACAAATTCAGTAAGAAATAGAAATGTAGCTTTTAGTGTCTAAAAGTTAGTTTTTGATTAATTTATGAAGAATAAAATAGATAGAACAAACTGTAACCTTTTGGTTGCCAGATTATAAATAATCCCAGCCTGATATTTAACCTCCTCTAGTATGACACTTGGCTTTTCTCTTGAGTTAGTGTTTTAACTCTTTATGGAAGACCATGCCAACCAGGGGCAGATCCAGAGAAATATTCATGGGGTGTCCAGAGGTTGCATGTCCTAGCAGTTAGCAGATGAGGCATGGGCCAAAAATCAAAGTACATGTCAAATAAACATTTTCCTGAGATGTTTTTTTGTCGTTTTAGGTAGTTCTTATCACCCTGATGTTTGTGTTAATTTTTCTAATCAGTTTGGTTTTAATGA